CATACACACACACACACACACACACACACACACACAAACCAATCCGTTTTTCATGTCTGGTATGTATTGCCCAATGTGTAAATCATCAACAAGTTCAGTGTTCGCCAGTATGATCGACGGTCGCACAAAGACTCCGTGTTAGCGACGTCGGATCGGGTCTCATGTCATTGCCATTTCATTTATGCCACTTTCTGCATTCCTGACATACTACAGGTTCAAAAATTGATAGCCTTTGTCTATTTATGGGCTCTCATTTTCTTTTCCCATAGACCCAGATCGATAGATTAGCCCAATAAATACATTCATTCGCATTCGCATTTCTTTCATCCATCTTCTCAAACGTTTCATTCCCGTCTGTGTTATCATAAAAAATCATGTGATTGTCATTGTCAGCAGTGCCAGCGTAACTTTCCTTTTCATGCCATTCTTGACAATGATTTTGATATTTCACTGTATTATAGTTCTAGCCTGTTTTTCTTTCTGTACTCTAATTTTCTCTCCTTTCCCCATTTGAGCTTCTTTATGTCCTCTCTGGGTTTTTTAAATTCCTTTTCCTGTTCAGTTTTAATCTTTCCTCCCGCTTTTTTTTCTTTTTTAAGCTAAGCTTTTGCTTTTCTCCTTTTTCCTTATAACGATTTCCTTTGAAATTTCCTCGCTACTGGCATTTTTCAGGTCGAAACTACTGGCATTGCCTTCATCTCAGTCGTGCTCGCCCTCACTAGATCAGACGATGTCGATGAATGTGCCTTAACTGCAGCAAGAACACGTATTTTCTGTTTAAAATGATTCAATCAATAAATTTCAAGTACACATAAAATATGTTAAGTTTATAGTTTGCATTACTATTGCTGTAAAAAAAAAAAGTACTCCCAAAGTGAATAGGGTCAAAACAACCCACTCAAAAACACCAAATGTCAAGTTGTGGAAGCACGAAAGTACAGTTGCCAAAATGGACGCTATCTTCGCAGAGTAGATCAGTAGAAGAAAATTAGAAAAGTTCTTTGAACTAAGGAGAGCGGGTTTGTTTAGCACCAGGAAAGGACCGCTCTAGTAATTCATATAATTGTTACGAGAAAAAGTAACAGTGCACAGTTTACCAACAGCAAAAATAACCTTATCATAACCGTGTTGACTGTGACAGCTAACGATCACCTGCACAATGTTATTATACTAATCAGATGGTGTCAATCCATTAAGATTGGGCACGGAGGGAGGAAAAGGTAACTTATAGAAACTGGCTGCAGTCAGGTCCGGACGTGCTTTGGTCTCTCTACGTCACGTGTCATATTTGAACTCTCAATGTCACAAAGCTTGATAAATGTTACATTTGCTCTTGTTATGTCATATTTGAACTTATTATGTTCACATTTGACGGGGAATGCTATACTACCGAAAAATAATTCAGACTTTATAAAACTAGTTTGCTTTTTATTGCATTAACTTTATAAAATGCGTACTCTTTCTCTCTCTCTCTCTCTCTCTCTCTCTCTCTCTCTCGTTTACCGTGTGGATTCCAATCCAACACTTTCCTTGCTATGCAGCCTCCAGAGTTCCTTAGAGTATGTCCAATCCATCACGATCGCCTTCTTCCCACCTAATATCCTGACTGACCTCTGTCTTGAATCTCCTTACCTTTTCCTAGCTGATGACCTTGTCTGTCCATCTGATCCTCAGTAACTTCCTTGAATACCTGTTCAAGAAAACCTGGATCCTCTTTATACAAGTCTGAGATGCGTTCCGCGTCTCACAGCCATACAATAAGACTGACTTCACATTTGAGTTGAAGATCGTCAGCTTTGATGGAGGTGAGATATCCCTCCTAATCCTATTCCAAGATATGAAAGCAGCCCGTGCCTTTCCAGTGCTGTTTCTCCCTCTCTGTCAATTATATTCCCAAAATAGCAGAAGGATTCGACGTCTTCTAGTGTATTTCCATAGGACTGTTGACTTTCCCGGGCGTATAAAACTGAAGTCTTTGCTCTGTGTGTGCAACAGAAGCGCCAAGTCGTCTGCAAAAATTAATATCGTCCAACTGTTTCCATGAGGTTCACTGTATGCAATTTCTGCGTACTCTGGTAGTTTCCTTCATCAGCCAATCGATCGCCAAGAAGAAGAGAGAAGTTGAGAGTTAACATCTCACACCGGTCTTGATGTCAATGCTGTCAGTAAGCTCGCCATCATATACAACCCTGCAACTTGTCCCTTCATACTTGCTCTTGGCGAGGTTCAACAACTTCTGAAGGATTCCGTGATTTCCATAGCGTTACTCCTAGCAAGATGTGGAGAAGGTTCTTTGTTTTGTTTATCAGCGTATCAATAATCGTCCCGAGAAATCATCATGGACACGAGTTCTACATTATACCATTGGTGAAAAAGGCACAAAATAACAAAAATAAATCCTTATCATTATATGCTACAGATTGTTCACTTTCGTATGACTTCGGTTAAGCTGAGATATATGAAATCGTTCCACCCAATCTTCTCAGATCTTTGCATACGAGTGTAAAAGTTGGATGACCAACACAATCTAAAAGCCCGTTCATAAAGGGCACTGTAAACTAAGGTTCCAACGCGTTTTCTTTGATGGAAGCCTGAAGTAGGTAAAACAAATACGGGATTTGCAGCACACTCCTGAAACATTTAAAAGTCGACGTAATATTTTCATCAACACCACATTTTAACGTTCGACGATTCAAGAGACGGTGTGAGTACTTTTCGAGACTCACATGGAGCACCATGGAGACGTCTAGACAGTCGGGGGTGAAATCTACAATCGTAAACTGAAATGTGGGGACAAGGTGGTGTACCTGTCTCAAAATGAGTCATTTGTAGGCAAGGTTACTGTAAATCATTTGTTTTAGTGATCCTGTGCATGCGTCTAAAGAGCGGCTTTTAATATACATGTAGGACGCAAAGAGAAAATCTTGTTTATTACTAGATCAAGATTGTAATCTTATGAAACCATATTTTTGTTTCGTCGCTGACCTGCTGATGTGCCATGGAAAGTTTCGTGGGTGTAAGTAAATTCATAAATAAGCTAGACCATTTTTCAACATGGTCAGACGAAAGGGAACAAGCTATACACGAAAACAGATGGTGTCGATTATATTATTTTGCATCATCGTGTCATGAGTAGGATCTTCGGTTTTTTGTTTGTTTGTATTTTTAAAAATATCATTCGGTTTTCGAGCCTTTATGTCAAAACAGTATATAGAGTTAGGTTTATTAGTATAGCAACATATAAGTATAACAAAGACAAGAAGAACAACTACAGCAGCAACAACAAAACAACAACAACAATGAAAAAACGTCAACAGATGTAATCTCAACAACGGAGGCAGCAACGACAACAAATAAGACAAAACAATAACAACAACAACAACAACAGCGTTGAACATTATCCCAATCACAGCAGCACAGCTATTACAATATCAACAACGGAAACTATTCCAATGGCATAGGCATACTGCACATCTATCACTCTCATTAAAAAAACAAAACACTTTTTTTTAGCGAGCCGCTCTCCGTTCATGCCAGTGATGTTCAAACCACTCTTGAAGAGGTTCTTGGCCTTATTGTCCAGAACAACGAGTCTGCATTACACCCTAACGTAGTCAGATGTTAACGTAGATGTCTACTATTACCATAAATGGTCTAATCACCACGAAAAACCTGGGCTGAGATTGTGGCACAGGGATAAATAAAAAATCAACAATTTAATTTAATCTTTAAAAAAAAATCTAAACGTGTTAAAAGGTGAGTAGATATGAAACTCGAATTTAAAAGTATTTCTGAACACAACATGACAAATCGGTGTGTCTCATCTCCCCATTTTAATTCTAGTTGTGTACTCAATACTGCTCAACCAGTACAAAAAGACGGTCAACGAAGGGAAGAAAAGAAGAAAAAATCCATCTAAAAAACCCAGAACAAAACAAAACAATACGTTACCTCTCTAGACTGAGTCCTGTCAGGTTGAGAACGGAGCAGATGATGGTCAGGTTCTGTAGATAGTGGACGCCCTTACACAGTACTTTGCCTAACTGCCAGGTGAAACTGAAGAAGCGTGCAAACTGAGAAGAAAAAAACAACCGTTTACCCCTTCACTGCCAGACCCGAGACTTGAGTGATGGAACAGAGTACAAGTGCATCCAGCGTTAAAAAACTACAACAACAACAAAAAAGAAACTCTCTGTAGGAATATGGATTTTATATCTTTAGTAAAAGATTTACAAAAGTTGCAAAACAAATAGATCATGCTATAAGTGTCGAAGATTTGAGGTGTTGCTTGATAGTAACATAGAAATGAAAATAAAGATAATAAAATGGGGAGGATAGATAAGAACAATAGTTTAATACTAATAGGAAAAATGAAGCAAACCCTACAAGAGTAATGGCAAACCACCTGTGAATATAAATTCATTGTCGGATCCCTTTTTTTAAAAAAGACGTTGATAAGTTTGGTGATGTCATTTTCCCCTCTCATCCGACAGTCCAGTAACTGCTTACACACTTAACCCCACAACGTAAGCAACAGTGAGCTGGTCTCGTGTAAAAGACCTTCTGAGTTTCCAAAACACTACCCTGGCTTGCCCTGCACACTCTCAAGTTTTCTTTTAATTTTCCGCCAGCCATTCTTATTTGGTGGATTATTCAAGAAAAACGAATCACATGCCTTCGGTGATTTCAAAAATGATATCTGGATATGATATGCGTGGATCTAAATAAGTTCAGGAAGTGGCAAGCAGGCAAGGCGCTTACATATAATTTTTAGTAGAATGTCTTTTATCGACAAGCACTAAACGCTATGTAACAAAAAGTAATCAATCAGAATTAAGGGACTGTGATTAGGCATGGTGTATGCAAATGAACAAAACCCATAAAATAAACAAAGTTGTTTAGTTTTTATATTATACGAAATCTACCAGGGCTTAAGTTTCTGCAACTTGTAAAGGAATTAGTGCACTTTGAGAACACAGCAGTGCCAGTACCACAGCCAGTGAGTGTCACTCTGGCCTTAGGTGTCCGGTCAACGTGCTCCCCCCCCTCCCCCGTTTCTCTCTCTCTCTCTCTCTCTCTCTCTCTCTATCTATCTATCTATCTATCTATCTATCTATCTATCTATCTATCTATCTATCTATCTATATTTTTTGGGCAAGTGTTTTACGGCGCTCGCAACTGCATACGGTCATATGAGCGCGCGGGACACACCTAATATTTTAAGTTGGTAGGAAATTTTGAATTTTGCCCGGGTGGCGGCCGAAGCCTACTCTTATCGATTTTAGACCATCAAGGGATCTTTAACATGCGCAACTTGCACATGGGCCCTCCGAGATTTTTCGCCTCTGTCCGAGAAGGCTAAGTGTAGA